GCAATCGGTGCCCTTCCAGACAGGAAGACGGATGAAGTCTGCACAGCTTCTTCCTCCTTTGTGAAGACTTCTCAGCCCTCCTGGGGTCCCACAACACTTTATTTTTAGAGACAGTCTGGCTGGCCATCCTGGGACTTACTTTGTAGACAGGTGTTGAATTGCAGTCATCCTCCTGCCTCAGACTCCCCAGGGTCCGGATTACAGGTTACAGATGGGAGCCAGTGCCCAGCTCACAAAGGCCTTGTCTTTCACGTATTCAGAGTCCCCGCATCTTCAGCTGACAGAGATGCTCTGCTTAGATGCTTTAGCAATCAGATGGCATTGAACTTGAGCATCGCTCTGTCCTCTCCTTTGTTACCACATCCAATCTTTGGGGAATTTGTTTTCAGTGGACACAGAGTTCATCCTTTCTTGAGACCAATTAACTAAGCAAAGTTAGATTTCTCCAGAATGTCTGTTTTCCTTTTATAAAGCAAACTTAGAATAAAAACTTACAGAAAATTAAAAATATATATTTGAAGGAAGCACTTTTTAAAGAGCATCTCCATTTTAATGATTATAACTAGTTTTAGTATTTTTGCATGTTTCTTTCTAGACAGATATAGACACACATACATGTATATATATGACATATAAAATAAATTTGAATTCTATTGCATTCTTTGATTTTAGTATTTGCCCATTTTCATTCATTGGTGATACACACTCATCTAAGTTCAGCACACATTGTGACCTCTTTGGAGGTGAGCTCCATAGGGAATCAGAAATAATCACTTACCAAATCCTGAAATCTGCTGGACTAATTCAAGAGCAGCCTTAACCTGTACAGCTGGAAGAAGCTGCTGTCAGTTCATTTGGTGTCTTCATTTTATGGCTCATCCCAGTACATACTGACCAACCAAAATCCAGGTTACTGGATCCAGTGAATGACAAATCTTTCAACCTGAGTGGACTTCAGGACCTCGCTATATCCAAATGCTAGGTAATAGTCAACAATTGTAAATTTGCACATTGAATATTCCAGGAGCATGACAGTTCTCTTTCCAACTTCCTCAAGCTATCCTCAACATCTGTGGAAAGCTCCTTTGAGAGAGGCTGAAGAATACACTAATCCTCTTATTTGGGAAACTGTTTTGCAAATGCTAAGATGCTGTGTGCTTTGTCTTTCCTCTCACACTCTGGGGCATATACTTCTTCAGTGTTTATTAGCATCAGAAGGTACAACTCTCTGGCCAGGCCTTGCCACCTAAATGAGAGTGTCATTTGGGCTGTCACCATATCTGGTTCCTGCCTCCCAGAAAGGCTAGGCAGTCCACATGATCAGAAAACAACCTTGTTCAACTACTAGTATGCAACCTCAGCTCAGTATGGAAAACAGACAAACACTTCCCAAATAAGAAATCAATGCCTCCCACCCTAGGGCCCCTCCGTCAGTTCAAGGTGTAAATCTGGCAGGATGCCCAGAACCTTAGATGGGTGCAATTTCACATATTAAGTTAGCTCCTTGCAGCATCATGGTTTCCATTCTGTTTGGTTGTGTTCCATGTACCCAAAGCGAACTCAGTCCATGGACTTTCTTTTCTAGCAATTGATGTGGAATGTTTATTATGGTGGCCAAGCATGTGACTGGGATCAGTGACTGTCTCATTTCTCAGTGGCAAGCTGGCATGTAACCCTGAACACCCATGACCATTCTGCCTCTATGGCTTCTCCTCTCTGCAATGAAGTGCTGGAGAAAGACCATCCTTCCAGACCCACAGCCCCTTTTCAACCTTAAACAGAAGGTGTGAGTTTGTGGACTGGGCATGAGTATATGTGGATGGGATTCAATTTGTGAACTGACTATCCTTTATACTTCCATAGCTGCCAGAGCCCCACGGAATTTAATTCCTATACTTTGAAAATGGGAATGCTAAATCTTACTCCTAAAAAAATGTTGAGGATTAACTGAATAGAGCCAGAAAGCCCCAGGAAATAGTGTATACATATGATGGCACTGTATTTTATGTTTCCCTTCACTATCCAAACCCAGAATAGAGAGTCTGAAAGTGTTCCAGAGATTAATCACTTCATAATCAATACCTAATTTTGAAAAGAATTATATCAAAAGACAGGGGCTAGAAATATGCCATCTTCCTTTGTATGTGAATTCTAGTTGACTCATGGCCTAAATGTCTAGGACATTACCTACCCCTTTCATCCCCTCCATGAATCTTCCACGAGTTAGATTTATATTACTATAGGTTCATTCCTTGTTCTTTATGATATTAAACCTATTTGATAAAGATTGAAACACTGACAGAGATTTAAGTGTTTATCATATTCTATATGCAAAAGGAGTAAACTTCAAATATAGATCCAAGTTAAATAGCATAAAGAGCATTGTTTATCATGCCTTACTTTATTGCTAATCTCACATATATTGCTCATCTAACAGGGAAAAGGCCTCATGCATCCATAAATGGCCTACAAACCAAGCTACTGAATGAAAAATATTTAAGCTCAGCATTCATAAAATAAAAAATAGAATTAGAGTTGACAGAGACCATAGAACTGCCAGAGAAATAAATGCCAAACGGTCTCTGCTCAAAAATGAGATAGCTTAAGTTGAGAGAGGTGGAGTAGCCTAGTCTAGTCACTCAAGCGGTAAGAGTCAGAGTCAGACCCATAGCTCAGCCACAGAGGGAGGGCTGTGGAGAAATCGTGTTCTTTGCCACAGTCTGAGGAGAATTAGGGAGAGAATGCAGAAGGGGAGAATGGAAAGTTGGCCCCTCTCAGATGTCAGGAAGGTAAGTCCCTCTGGTGCCAGGACAGTATTTAGGCCACAATGTCACTGTCTGACTTGAGAGATGTTCTCTCTCTCTCTCTCTCTCTCTCTCTCTCTCTCTCTCTCTCTCTCTCTCTCTCTCCTGAGCTGTGTCAGCATACAGTGTTTGGTCAGGGTCCAATGCTGCCACTTCCTAGAGTAATCTAAGTCAACGTATCGCTGGAACAGGAGCATGGGCGTTTTGTCTTGGGTGCTTTGTTGTATTTGTACCTTTACTCTGGAGCTTAGCCATGCGTTCTCTGAAAATCCCCAAATTCCCCTGCTGTCCTGCTCTCCAGTAGGAGCTGAGTATCCACCTCGAGGATTCATAGATGTGGTTTTTAGGTGCTATAAATCCCCTGAAGAGGAAAGCGAAGATTATTTCTCATTCCATAGGCTGTGTTAAACCACCAAGGATGCCCATGATGGAAACAGCTAGGCATACCTATGAAAAGAGGAGAAAAAGGATGCACTTTCTGAAAGAAAGAAAACCCCAATGGACCCAGAAAAACTGCTGTCCATAACATAAGTAGCAGTATCGTAGGAACGCGCCGTCAGAGGGATGGAGTGCTAGGATTAGGCCAATGACACATTTCTCTCATGTCTTTCCATCAATCTGCCCAAATGCAGCTACAAACTGACTCATGCTGGTCCTTCCCGGGGAACACAATGCCTTCCTGACTCACTCTCAGTGCTGGACAGGGGCTTTCAGAATGCCATGTGCAGCTGCAGAACTACCTACAAAAAATGAATAAATATGCTTTTCAACAATTTATTTTAAAAGAATTCCTGAAAAAGAATAAACAAAACCAACCCCCTCTTCAAAAAATGTGTTTTTGTTTGTTTGTTTGTTTGCTTTTTGTTCCTGGAGACAGTCTCATTTGGCCTAGGCTAGTCTTGACCTTAAGGATTGTCTTAAACCCTGATCATTCTGGTTAGACCTCCCAAGAACCAAAGTTGCCAGCATGTAGCCACACTCGGTTTATGCATTGCTGGGAATGGAAACGAAACCACCTGCATACTAAAAGCATTTGACTAACTGAGCTACAGCCTTAGCCACGATTTCCACAATTCCTCATCTCTCTGGACTGCTGCTACATGTTATAAAGAGAGTGAAAGGGGGCTCAGACCACTGAACTGATGCTTGGATCCAGATGCCTCTAAGCCCTGGTTAAAGGATACCATGAAAGGGGTGAGACCCTAGATGGGATATGGCAGTGTCTGCTGCTCTAAGATGCTACTGAGGTCTTCTGACAAAGGCCTCAGAAAAGCTGCAGATAGGTTTTGGCTGGAAGAAGCTGCTGAGGGTGGGCACAACCTCACTGCATCAGAGATGGCTTTGTGCCCATCCATAGGGCCAGTATCAGCTACTCCCAGCTAGTCATATGCTAAGGGACTTTAATATTTGGGGAATTAATCTCCTATTATACAATGTGTGGAGGACTTCCAGGCACCCAAGCATAAGAACAGTTCGCCAGTTATAATTCTGAACAAAATGTATGTTTACATTTTCATGTGATAATACAAATCATGAATTCTTTGTGTGATATTTCTCTGTGTGTTGTATGTATGTATGTATGTATGTATGTATGTATGTATGTATGTATGTATATGTATGTATGTGTACATATTTGTGTGTAGATGCATGCATGCCATGGTGCATGTGTGGAGATCAGAGGACAACCATGGGTATAAGTGGTCTATCTTCCACCATGCCTGGAACAGGGTCTCTTGTTCACCTCAGCTTACACTAGACTAGCCAGCCTGTTTAGAGGGCTCTCCTGTCTCTGTCTCTCATCTGTTAGGAGCACTGGTCTTATGAAGTGCTGCTGTGCCAAGCTCAAAGTGCTGGGGGTTCAATCCCTGGTCCTCACGGTTGTACACCAAGCACTCTACCCATCTAGCCCACAGGGTATAAATTCTAAAATACTCTTAGAGCTGGATCAGGGCACAAGACCAGCATTGGGCTGTGGATGCAGGACCATCAGTCCTGTGATTTTTCTAAACCGTTCATCTAATTTCAGACTCTAGCCTTTAACGAGTCTTCCAAGGAGAAAACAGGAACATAATGTGACCAGGTAACAGATATTTCTGATAAGAAGTTACTAGATTTTTGAAATAAATACAGCATGACTAACATAAAAAAAAAAAAAAACGATGCAGTATAAACCTCTAAATGTCAAAAGGCAGGATGTAATGACTTGGATATTTTATTTTGACTTTACATGCGGTGTTAAAAACCCAAAGTACATATTATTTACACATCCACAATACAAGTTTACAAGATATCTATACATGTTAAAGTACTCTATAAAACAGTATAGAGCCACTTCACTTTAGGGTTATTTTTTATGCCGTACCATTAAAAAAGATACAATCTGTGTTTACCTTTGCACAAATGGATAAAGCATTTAAAATTAAATTAACAGAATAGAGACTAGAATCCATGTTAGAAATTTCAACATAAATACTGATAGAACTCACAGTACACTCTAAGGCAGCACAATGTTACAAAATGTTATCAGGGTCACACAGAGTTACCACGCTGGGATTAATATCGGTAAGGTAAATGCAAACACGTTGTTGGTGGCAGACTGCGTAGTGCTTATTGTTGGTTGGTTTAATTGATTAAACTGTAATATTTTAGTTGCAAAGCTGAAGTAGTTTGAGGACAGGTGTTTCAGCTTTTGAGCTCCCAAGAAATCACAGGGAATCATTTTTCTCTAGAAAAGAATGTTCTTGAAGGAAAAGACCAACTCCATCAGTATTCTACATTCTGTATAAAAATGATCTGGTGTTCTGCACCCATCCCTCCCCACAAGTAATGCATTCCATCGTCACTGTCCCAAGATATTGGTTGACTTTACCTGGCTGGGTCAGGAGCCTTTCTCAGCTGCGGTAATTTCTAGATTAGGTTGGGTAAATGACTGGGCCATGTGCAGTGAGTTAACCAAAGTCGTCAGTAGGCTGCACATCGTCAGCCGTCAGTGGGCCCTGCCAAGCTACGTAGAAATGACTTTAGACATGGTTTCCTCAGGTGCCACGTTCCCTGGGAACCGTCATCTGCCTTCACATTATCAGAAGAGCAGGGCTGGAATGTTTATCATGACAAGGGGGCGGATGCTGCTTCTGATTCTGGTGTGTGTGGGGGGGAAGGAGGGGGGGTCAACAACAAATTACTCTAGGTTGCTGCATAACTTTGTAAGAAGTCCTCAGGTGCTGGCTGAAAAACATCTGCAACCGGCGCCTGGGAAAGGATGCGCTATAGGGGAAACACTCAATGTAGTGCAGAACTTCTACCACTCTCGTGAATAAGGCACAAAATGCACAGATCCAGGTAAACTCACATGTGGTATTTACAGCTGACTGTCATTGCCTGCATGACTCAGGAGAAAATCCTCAGAACGCAACACAGAGGCCAGGACGGCACCACCAGTGGCTTTTCAGACCCTCCCTGGCCAGCCAACTGCCTGTCATTCCTGTTCTGTCTCTTTCTTTTGTCCTCTGTTTGGGTTCTCTCTTTTTGTCTTGGGGGAGGGAAGAGTTAACAGAAGAAAACTTTTGCTATACGGAAAATAAAATAACACAATCAAAATAAACACTTAGGAGTGTGTCCGGGGTTAAGTAGCGTGCCTCAGGCTTTAATTCACAGTGGACAGGTAAATGTTACTACTGAATACTGGTAGATACATCAAGGATACCTCTTAATATCTCTAACTTCTTAAGCTGGCAAGGCTGGAATAGAAGTTTTGATGAATAGCAGCACAAAATTATTTAGAACTCTTAAATGTTCTGACATTGGGTACCACATAGGTTAAGTTAATCATTTGACAGTCATAAGGAGCCTCGACTTCCTTTCTCGGAGCTGAACACAATGGACTGGTGTGGGAGGAAGCTAGTTGTCTTCAATCATGCTCAGTGTAAACAACTCCATAGTACAAAAAGATGCAATGGGCACCTAAATAAATCCTAATGGGTACAGAACTATCTTACTACACACACACACACACACACACACACACACACACACACACACTCTGACACAATTTTGTTGGTGGCATCAAATAAAAAAAAAAAAAAAAACAGTGCCACACATGAAAAAAAAAATGCTACAGTTTGGGTCCAAGATTGAATTTTTTTTTTTTTTTAGCAAACTGCTTGGTAATCTACAAGCTCATTTTGTTTTGAGACATTCCCATCTTTTCATTTTGACATTTGTGCAAGAGGCAAGGTGAATGCATACAATATTAAAATGTTCACATTTAATGGGAAGACCACACAGAATGGCAGTCTGAATTGAACCCATTTTCAAGTATTTGTTCAGTCTTCTGAGTACTCTATCAGCTCTTTATACTGGTGAAGGGAGCCCTGGCAGGCTGCAAAGCCCCTTCGGCTCCAAACGAGAGAAATGGAATGACCAGTACCTCCCTTTGTCTCAGGCAAGTACACAGAAGCCTTGCTGCAGTAGCTACATGTGGCAAGTTCTGGTGTTACCAAAGTTACAGAGTTTCTTTGGCTACTTGTTTCTCTTCAAATACAAGCAGGTATCTTGTCTTAAGGTACCCTCACAGCGACCTCTCAACAACCGGGACAGGATAAAGCCACACGGGAATAGCACAGCACGTTGGAGGCCTAGTAAGTGTATTTGTTCAGTGGCCTGACAGACGTGGTCTGAGGGACAAAGGAAGGCTTTGGCGGCACATCAGGTTTTAAGGATGGTGTCCTCTTTAGTCCCGTCCTGGGGAGGGTGCCATTACTGGTGTAGCTGCTCTGTCTGGAGAGGGAAGGCTGCAGATGGACACTCACAGGTGTCCCCTGAATAAAGTCCACCTTCGCCCCGGTGGGAGTGGGCATATATCCTCCACGGTTCATACTCGGCTGTCTGGATAACAAAACACCATTTGGTGAGTTTAAGTTTTTAGGCACGGCTGATATAGAGTGCCTCTGGGAGGAATTTTTATGATAACCCCTTTGTCTTTCCAGAGATGTCATTGGGACCCCAGGAGTGGTGGGGACATCTACTCTCTTGGTTGGGCTATTTCTGGGGAGTGTTGAGGGAGGGGAGTACAGAGATGCCTCCCGGTTAGGGACCTTGGGTGGGACCTCAGACATAGGTCCTACTGGGTCCAGCATGAGGGTTTGATGGGCCATATGGATTTCTCCCATGATGGCTTTGGGGTTACTGTTTGGGTCATTTAGATGCTTCAGGAGATCGTTAAGGGTGTTTCTGGAATCCACAGAACGCCGGTGCTCCCTCTTACTGGACGACTTTGTAAGAGGATGGTCGATGTTCTGAAGTTTCTTTTCAGCTTTATGAGCATTAGAGTTTGAAAATGACGTATTGTAGTCGTGGGTGGCGTTTGGAAGAACAATGGCACTGGGAATGTGCCCGTGACTTAATGGGGAATGGGGTGGAGGACTAGAAGGAAAAAACTGGGGATGTTCTTTCCTTGAAGCACCATGGCCGTGGGCCTTGTCAGAGTGGCTCTTCATGGCCTGCAGGGTCTTCTGGTGGAGTACAGGTGTGGACTCTGGAGTGGGGAGAGCAGCCAGCTCTGGAGGCTGGCCTCGGTGGTCCATGACCATGGATTTTGTATCCGTGTTGGGTGGCAGCTCCTTCCGACTGGTCAGCAGGTTGCTATAGAGTTTAGGAGAATCAATGTTCTGTTGGTATTCCTTGACGGGACTGTCAAAGAGACCATTCAGCTTGGCAAAGCTTCCGCTGGAGTCTGTGCATGACTGGGCTGATTCCGCATCTTTATGGATCTTTCTGTTCTTGCGAACAAACATGTCGCGGTAGCAGTATACAGCCACGCCTGCAATGAATGCGCCCAAGACGAAAGCCGCGAACACACAGGTGATAAGGACATTCATATGGACCATCTGGTTGGAGTCTCCAGATTGGACTTCCCACCGTACACCTGCAACAGACATGTGAAGACTTTGAAGGAGGTGCTTTAAAAAAAAAAAAAACCCAAACATTAAATACAAAAGAGCTTACACTGAACCAATACTACCTTCAAAGGCTCCATATGCCTAGCTTATAGGATCAAGCAGATCGCAAAATTTCACATGTATTCCCGGCCCCCCACCACCCCGAAATCACAATACAATCTCCAGAAACATACATGCTTGCAGCAAAAGTCAACATAACTCTAATCTTCTGTTAGCATATGTTTCTCCTTCCTTTCCCCCAATCTCTTTTAAGCAGTTGTTAGGAATTTTAAAAGTTTCTATCTAAAGAGCAGAGTTAGAATATTTCAGAAAACATTTACCTTAGGATTGTCACCTAATTCCTAAATAAGGGTTAAAGAGTTGCAGCTGGAGTTAAGGAAGTGTCTGAATTAGCAAACACACACATCACGCTAAAATAGCTATGCTAATACAGCTGTGTTAACTAGAACAAAAGCGTAACTGGTCACAAACTAAAAAGCAGCTACTTGGTCAGTGTTAAGTACAAATCTACACTTGTGCATTTGTCTTCACATTCTGTTTTGAAATTTCATCCTGGGATGAAATATTCATGAAGTATCTACTATGTAAGAAAACGGGACAGTGTAAGAAAATAATCTATATATTAGTTTAAGAATACCATTAAATTATCTGGAGGTATTTGAGGAATACTTAAATTAGACCTAGGGAGTGAAGAATGAGTTAGTTTATAATTATTGGAAATTTTAATGCAACCACAGACATCTAAGAAGCGATTAAGGAAACGTTAGATTGAGAGGCATTCAAGTCCGTTATATGTTACACATGCAGCTATCCCAGAGTGACTGAGTCAGAGCGACTGGGAGGGTTCTCCGGCATTAGGACAGTAGTAAGGCTGACTGTTAGTTGGTTTTGATCAGCTGTCAAAGTTATGGAATGTAATGGCACTGTGAAAGACCAGGAAAGAAAAGAACAAAGAAATGGTATTACTGAAGAAATCAAAACAGAAATAATGATTATAAAATTGTTTGCAATGAAAATACAGGAAACAAAAATCAAAAGAAGTAAATCATAAATGACAAGGCAATGCTGTAAGAACTGATTGGAAACCTGAGACCACAGCGTATACACAAAGGGACAGACTTTTTGGTTTTTCCTGAAGAATTAGATCTAATAAGCAAATTGATCAGGTAGCTTTTAAACTCCATCTATCATGTGCTGAAAGCAGTCATTACGGACAAGCACTATGTCACGCTTTACTGCTTGTGGCATCTGAGTGACTCGTCACCCCACATATCCTTTCCACATTACATTTGCAGTCAAAGCTAAGTAAGGGGCGGAGAGAGTCTCCTCGATAGAACTTTGGTAACAGGATATTTGTCATCTGTGAGGATTTTTTGTTTTTGTTTTTCTTTTTGATATTTCGAGGGTGACCCTCAAAGTTCTCTGATATACAGCAGGCTCTCAGTGTCTCCAGGCAGAAACCAGCGCAGATTAGATTGTCTGAGCGGCTGTTTCAGGAGCGATGTCCTGGGCAGGAATGAACTCAGACTTAACCACAGGACAGCAAAGTCACTGTGGCCACAGGTGCTAGAGGAAGGCACCTGCAGTTAGGTCTACTGAGTTTCCCCTCTGAGAACCATGCCAGGAGTCAGGTTTCCACGCAGTTGGAGATGAGGTGCCTGGCCAGGCCTTACCCTTTGGGATACCTGATAAAGTATCAGTAAAATCAGAAGTGTATGGGTCATCTTGAACTACAAATTTCCGGGAGCTCGTCAGTTTAGGTCTCCAGGTATCAACCACTTTAGATGTAATTTCTGGGCTACTTGCCACAGTGGCAACAGAAGATGAAGAGACCTCCATGTCTGTGGTGGCAAACAGATGTCCATTAACATGGCTAGCGTCAGAAGAGCTTTCTGATTGCTTTGTTGCATTTTAAAGTCAAGTAAATGTTCTGAGAAATCCTGTCCTGGAATTTTGTAAAAGCACACCTGAGGGGACTAGACCAAATCCTTTCCTTGTAAGAGAAGTGTGAAAACTAGAAGTTGACAATGAAGACACAGTATGCAGATTTTAACAGTAAAGATCCTCAAACATTCCTACTGAACCCTTCTCATGGAAATGTAACGTAATTCCCAACTCAGGCTGCCTCTGCTTCCCTCTAGCTCTTGGGGGTCATTTAATTTATTTGTACTATGTATTGTACAGAGAACTTTTGTGAATGGTTGTGGGGGGAGGTCTTTATACCCTTCTCTTCACTGGCGAAGCTATAATGGAATTACATTGAGAAAATACCTGGTCAAGTCCAAGTAAACAGTTGATTTTGGACCTGATAAACCAGTTCTGCCTAAGAGGCCATTCTGCTTCTCCAGGGCCTCCTGTCCATTTGTAGATTTCTCACTGCACTGAGAGCCTCCATCCACAGTGCAGCACAAACCTTGCTGTGTTCTCTGAAATGCCTGGGGAGTTTCTTCCAAAGAGTTAGCAGTAACTCATGCACAAGCAATGGCATTTACACACTGAATAAGGATGCTGGGATACATGAGATCAGCCATCCTTTTCTCCCCCAGGGATGAAACTGATGTGAACCCTAGAAGCAGCATAGACTGAAGAGCAACTGAACCTTTCTGAATCTATTACCAGCGTTAACCTAGTAGATTCCCATGAATATATAAGCATATGCTTTTAGACATGGTATAGACTGATCCAACAGTTACAGGGAGAGACTTCTAAACAAACACAGGGAGATGTGCATGGAGACCCCACTGTACATCTTTGTACACCCAATTCCAGCTTCATTCAACTGAAGCTACTTTCACACCACTGAGAACACAACATTCAGAGATTCCTGGGATCACCACAAAACATTCAAAAAAGATCTTTAAAACTTAGAAATACACATTTTTTAAAAAAAATGTGTATTGTTCATTCCTTGGTCTTATGAAAGGTGGGGGGAAAGGGGGAAATTATGCGATTCTGTCATCCATGGAGTACAGATGGCCAGAAGGAGCATTCACGATGCCAAGGGCTGAGAGAGAAGGAAGCTGGGCGGCCGGCGTGCAGTTGAAATGCGGTATATGTCAACCCACTGGACTGTTCTTACGGATGTGCCTCGGTCAATGATGAATCATTAACATGCTACACACGGGTGGAGGGTTGAGTAAGAAAACATCTTTCAGGACCTTCAGAGGGTTATGAGTCAAAGCAGAAAAATGAAGGGGCTGCCAAACTGCGCAAAAGGAGGAGGGGGAGAGGGGCTGAAAATGCCGAACTGAAGGAAAGAAAAGACTGTTAATTCAAAAAAATTAAAAAAAACTAACCAGATGTTGGACCGCCAAATATTTTGTAATCTGGTGTAGTTGAAGTAGGCAAACTTTCTAAAGGGATTAAAGGAACAAGTAATCAGTGGAAAGTAACTGAAAGAAAGCAAAAAGTTTATGAATTCCAAGTAATAGGAAAAAGTCAAAAGAAAAGACTACAAATTAAAAGTCTACTGGTTAGACTCCCTCTCTCGTTAGACTGTTTTTTTACAAAAGTTCCAATGGTGGAGGAAAAGAAAAATTCAGAAGCTTTTCTAACGGACCCCCATGACCAAACAGCTCAGCTTTTGCGAAGTTTAAGTTAAATGCTAGGTGGTATGTGTCCCAAGTCGTTATCAAGACTGGTTGTCAAATCATGTGGGCATGCAAACAGTCAAGGGCAGCAGCCGGAGGGGAGGGAGGTGTCTGTCTTACCGTGGCAGTCCCCTAGGTGGGCCGTGTTGCCGTACTCTGTGTCTTGCTCAAATCCTCCAGCGCTGTGGTTATGGGAAGCAAACAAGTCTTCGGTTAACAGCCTTCATAGGGACCCAAGGGACAACCAGGACAGAGCCGAGAACACAGACTGGTTAGTGACAGGAAGCAGAGAGCATACGCTGACGACTCAACACACTTGCCAAAGGGACCACTTGTTAGTTCATCTAGGATGTCTGGGAGAACGAAACAGTCTCTCTCCAGAATCTGTTGTCCTAAGGGTTGCTGTGCCTAAATCTCGTTTCCCTTTCAAAGTTTTAGATTTTCTTTTTTTTAAATCTTTCCCCATACTGGAAAAAGAAATGAAGGAAACGAAAGGCAGTGCATCTGGAAATTCAATTTTTTTTCTTTCAGGTGTTGTTGCTACTCTGAGAGAAGACAGTTAGGTGGTCCAGTGTACTTACAGCATCCCTAGGGTCACTCTCTCACAAACGCCCTGGCTTAACCAACCGCAGTACGGGTCACGCGATGCGATGCAAGACCTGTCGGAGACCAAACAAACTGTGATGTGGATTTTGTTATCAGCACGGGGTATGCCATCACAAGAGCGGGAGTGGGGAAAGGAACACAGGCTTACTTTTTACAGGATCCGTAGCGCTCACAGCGACTGAGGGGGATGCGGACGACGCAGCTAGAGAAGGCCACGTACAAAGCATGGTGATCTTTGTCCAGCTGTAACGAGACGACCTTTCTGTCCTCCTCGCTCTCAGCGCTGCACCTATTTTGTGGGGACATTATGAAGGCACACACTGAAGTCAAACCGGCACCACCCACACCAGAGGTATGATCTGGCAGCCAAGCAGCAAGCCAAGGGCCTAATTTGAGAAATAATCATCACGGGATACAGCTCTCTGCTTTTGTCTAACTGGTTACAAATCAAGCTGGATAAAGGGTCTTTAAAATTGCTGTCCTGGTTGAATGGAATTGCAGCTGTGGAGAGTGTGTAGGACGCTAACAAACGAGAAGGATGCTATTCTAAAGTGTTGAAATCCTCCCATGCTGGAGGCCTCTGGGTGCCTGTGTCCCGGGCTCTACTTCCGTCACTGATTTCTTATGTGTTTTAATTGTCCGGACAATCTCAGTTCCCTGGTTAGAACAAAATGCTAAACTCTCTGTGCACATGCTCACTACCAACTGTGCCACATGCAGCATCCCAAAATAGATCTGCAAGGTAAGATGGTGCTAAGATGTTCTCATTTTTCACAGGTGAGAAAGAAGGGCTGACGTATTTTTAAACTCATCAGCTGTTCACCCTCCTTGCCCCAGTGGGCTTACGAAAACAAACAAGCCTAAAAGGCATCTGGGGGTGGTGGTAAATAATACAGGAAGACATAAAACCCAAACAGAACCGCTACAAAGCGCCACTAGTTCAGAAGTCTGAAAGGAGATGGCCAGATGAGATACACACCAGACACTTCTGAGCAAAGCTGAAGAGGTTTCTCCTCAAACGTACTCACTTGGCTTGGTTGTAAGCTTCAATCTCCTCAAGCAATACACTGTCATTCAAAGAGAAAGGGCTGGTCTTTGCCAACACTTTCAGCACCACGCCGGCTTCAGAGCCGACAAAGATGACGGTGTAGTTTTGGTAGGGCCCCGCCGAACGGTCCACTTCGATGGCCGTCAACCTGTACCTGGCAGAGGAGAGAGGCAAGTCAGCCCAGGAGGCCAGTGGCGGGAGAACCGGGAGGTGGAAGCAGACTGCCTGGAGTCTCACCTGACCCGGGTCTTTGTGAACCAGGGCTCATCAGCAATGGGGGGAACAGCAGAGTCCATCAGGGGATGGGATTTGATGAAAGACAGGGTCTCGTCTGGGAAGTCGATGGAGGTTTTGTAAGCTTCTGCAAGGCCATGCTTGGCACAGCAGCCAGGCCTGAAATGAAAATAGCGATCTTCAGTCAGTCTCGCTCACATAACCGAATTTAAGGAGTAAGCACATATTCTGTAGAAAAGAGGCCAAGAGAGGAAGAAGTGACAGAAAAGCCAGAGGAGCAGTATCATTTCCCAGAATTCCACGGGCCCTTCACATCCACATGCACAGGGGGTAACAGGACACCATTTATTGGCTTTGTGGGGGCTGCCTCCGAGAGACACTCTGCTGGGGAGGGAGAACGGATGGAGAGATGGTGCCAATGTTCACAATGGTTTTTTTTTTTTTTTTGTTGTTGTTGAATACAAAAACCTTTCGACTCTTCTTTACCTTGGTTTTGGTACTTTGTCTTCGGGAACTGCCGTCCAAACAGAGTCTGGGGTTTTCTGCTCTTTGAATCGCCCTTTGAACACCTTCTCAATGTCGTCCATGCTAAAGGCACAGACTGCAGAACCAGGAATGCTGAAAGATGAGAAAACGGTGAGGAAGAGACTCACGCTGGGGGCTGTGCCCGGTCCCAAGGAGGAGCACAAAGCACCCCTGGGAGGACCAGGGTTCCTCCTGTCCCCACCTGTTAAGCTGCGTGGTGAAGACCCCAATCACGGTGGGGACGCCGTTGATTTGGATTATGTCTGTGATGGACTGCAGAACATCAAAGTAGAAAAAGGAATCTCCGGGGACAGAGCAGTTAAGCCTGGCCTTCAGGAAGGAAGTCCAGTGCTTCTCCAGAACCCGCTGGGAGCCACCCATGTCGTTTTTACAAATGCGAGCCACGCGGGAATACACAGCCTGCCGGGAGACAAAAGGCGAGGGATGGACGAGGTTATGAGCACGGAAGAGGAACACAGCAAAATGCTGCTGCTTCAGGGAGGGACAAAAAGGAAAACAAACAAAATAGATGTCTGGCTCAAAACAAGCTGCCCCTCACTGTGCTTCCGCAGTGAGAATGCAATGCAGAGTTTTTCCCACATTGCCAAACAGGCTCCCCGAGACATGAGCCATCTATCTATCTTCCTGGCTGAATGAAAACCACGCCTGTACTTCTGCCTCTAACTTTTTCTGTTGCTTCTCGTATTATTAATAAAATGTGCAATCCTTAAACATGATCACAGAAGAAGTTGCAATACTTAAAGGAATACAGGAATTTTCACAGCAACACTCTAAAGTGAACAGGAGAGGTTCCTGTTCTCCATTCTGCCTTTGACATTGGAAACGATGAGATCATCGATGGCTTTCTAGAGAGTAAAAAAGAAGCCTCCACTTTCTATGGTGATAGAAATAAAAATATGAAAGCTTTTGAAAGCCCAAGGAGGCAGCTGTTCCCACTCTGGGCATCGTGAGGTGTTTCCCAACCGTCAGCTGTACCCTCAGCCACCCGGTGCCCTGACTTGGCCTCATAGGCACTGAAGCGAGTGCTCTGAAACAAGACAGGAGGGCGCCCATCACTCTACCCAAGTGGGTGGGATTCCGTGCTGGTTGTGTCCAGAGTGCACATCCAGCATATGTACTTGCCTTGCCTAAGTTATTATGTTCCACAGCGATTTCTCTGAAGAAGAAATAGACATAGTTTCCATATTCGATGGCATGAAGAAAGTGTGGTTCTGAAAGAAAATTGAAAACAAACCATTCTTAAAGGATAATTCAATTAGTGTAAGACCCAAGCTGCCAGGTAGGTTGCATAGCTACCCTTGGAGCAATGATTTCAAGGAGTCCCAACATGGGTGTGTTCAAGCTTCAGGGAGCTTATGTCTTTAAAGTCAGCTAATGGACTGTGAAAAAAGGCCTACAGGGAACGGGTCTACAGCAAAGGTCCATGTTTCAACAGATTTATTCATTAACCTATTTAACTAGAGAAGAAAACCTCATATTGAGATTAAAAAAAAAAACCTGATTTTCAGAATCTAAAGAACAAAAGGTCTCTATAAATATTAACTCATCAGTTCTTATTATTAACGTTCCAAGATGGGTGGACGAGCATGGGGGGGTAGTAGTGTGTGCATTTGGTGTTACACAAATTGATCCGTAAAGACAAAGTCTCTCTTTAGTTGTCTGGTTTTGCTTTGGCCACTTGGCATAACTACCTGGATACACTTACTCCCTGATATGGCTGCTTGTCTGATTATTCCCTGTCAATGCCCCGTTCATAAGCAAAACACACGTGCTTATTCTAGACGAACAATTCAAAGTCATGCTCCGCACTTGGCTGCTGCTCCACTTAAGTCTTCTCTCCGTCCCCAATAACCCCACGGCGTTGCTCCTCATAGGTACCTTTGATCCATTTGGAATCATATTTTATTGTTCTAAGGGCAGATCCGTCACCCATGCTTCTATAAATGACAGCATCACTAGCCAGGAAGTCGGCCACTGTGGCAGAATACAGTTTCCCATCTGAAACCAAAGTTATAATTTGGTAAAATAACCATAATTAGCTGCGGTATGTTAGCACGGCTACCTTCTGCAGGTTCCACCTGTCGCCATTATCTATGCAGTAAACTACACCTGTGCTCACCCTCGACCTCTGACTGGCTGTCGTATGACATTACCTAATTTTACAGATGAGGGATCTCAGCACCAAAAATTAAGCAACGTATTCAGGGTCAGTGGCTTAGTTAATGGCAGAGTCACATGTGAGAATATTTGGCCCAGTCACTGAGATCCTCATTTTTTTTTTTCACGTATTCTTCCTAACAATTTGTTCATTGGCTTTAGCCTTTGAAATGCTTATGTCAAAGCATGATCTTTTCTCTCCCTTTAAATTCTTTTGTACCTTCAATGTCATTAATCATTGATATTCAATACACCACAGCTTCTTACCAGCAAAGAGGGCAACATTGGTTTGTCTGGCATCAAATGGGCATCGTGCCAGGCCACTAATTTCTTCCCCATCATACTCTAAGGTATTCAACTGCAAGAGAGAAAAAAAAATAGCTAGTGTCACATCTGTTCAATGTACTTACTTGAAGGCAATATTGCTTTATTTATATTGAAATTTTATTTGAGGGATTCTCTTTTGTATTCTCTTATAACATTAGAGATAAATCACTGGGTTATAGCAGAGAAGATTCATCTCTAATAGCAAACCAGTGAAGGAATATCTAGTTGAAGGGGAAAAATATTCACCATATAAAACATACTTACCCTATAGTATCTACACATGGGGTTGAAAGCATTGGTACCACAAACAAAAACCATCTCATCGTTTCTTGGAACAAATACTTTGATGAAGTTGTGGCACTCGTCCTAAAGGAAAAATAATGACATGACGATCAGACATCTCCTATGCTGACATTATGGTGGCAAGTCCACAAAGAGGGAATGGAGCAGGCACCCATCCACTGTACTCACTTTATGCTTGCCTTTCATAGCACAGTTTTCTCGATCCTGTTGCCTGGACCTCCACGTCAGCTTCTGGATGAATCAAGTAAAATCAAAGTTCAGTTTTAAAAGGATGCACTTTTGGCGGGGGCATTACTGAAGCTCAGAGGGAGTGTGAACACATTTGCCCTCTGTAGCTGATGGCTCACCTTGCTTGGTATGACCTCTGTTTTGGGGATTTCATTTAAGTTCACTGTATAGACTTGATCTCTGTTGGAAACAAGGCAGTAAGTCATATCACGTGAATGCATAAACGCTAAGCTCTCTCTTATTTCATCTTTACAGATCTGCCATTCTTGTTCTTTGAAGATCACCAGGCTTTTCCGTGACTTGCACAGAGTTAACAAGGAGTACTTTTGCATTAGTGACATGCTTCTATGAATCACTGAAGTCAAGGAGCAAAGGAGGCACTTCCCTCCAGGCTTGGCGCAAACTGGGCGCTAGCATGGGCATGTTTCTGATATCTGCTTGAATAATTCTAAGTTAGAAAAGAATGAAGAATGCTTTTTTTTTTCTCCTGTTCCTTTAAGATGAAAGAATGATGTGTGATTTCTGGATGTGTCACAGAGGTCTGTAGTTCTGTATTCTGTAACTGGTACCCAGCATGCTCTTCATGGAGAGTATTTTTGGCTACTTGCAATTCTTGATCACAATCACATATTAGTTTTTCATGAACTAGACACATTAATGCAAGCACCACAAGAGAAAAGAATTTTAATCTAATAAACCAGCGAAAGGAAAATTACCTGCCAGCAATATAAAGTGTGTCTCGAATTTTCAGCATCAGCTGAAAGTCCAGCCTATGCTGCGATTCGTTGCCTGAAGGGCGTCCTCTAAAAACCGGATATTGCCTTGAATCTGCAAGTAAAAATGGGCTAAACCATCAGTCAGGATTACAGAGCTGAAGAATCAATAGCCAGCATTGATTAGCTGTATATAGTACTTGTAGGAAGGGTTTTAACTAAATTCCTCTCTTAAGGTCTTGAATATAAATTAGTAAAAGATGGAGAATGTCAGCAAATGGTCCTTTTCTTTTTTACTGAAAATACATAATTTCTACGTATGGGCTGCTGCAGGGCAGCGCCCGACAGAACTGGCTCAGTCTCTGCGCAGCCGAGGAAAAGAATGCAGATGATTTAATGGGCAAAACATTGTACAGACATATTAAAATCTGTCTCTGGCGCTGAAAATGAATCTACATAGAACGAGGCAAACACGAGGCTTCCTCTGGAAAGGATGACAGGGCTTCGGGTGACTTACAGTGATAATCAACAGTGTTAAGGGGCTCGTCGTCTTCCGGGAAGCTGACTGCCCGTAACCTGGAGACCAGAAGGAACAGCACGTGGAAGCAAAGCAGAAAGAACCTCATGGTTGGCCAAGAAGAAATCTGAGCGACCCCTCCTCAGAAGTCCCACCTAGCTACCTGGAAGACAAAAGCATTATGGGAAGACCTTTACGCTGTGGTGAAATTACCTTCTCATTCGTAGACGATCCTATTTTTTTTTTTCCCACCTCTTTCCATAGCTCCCTATCAACCAAGACACCTGGCAGAGGCAGACAGGTATCTCCAAGAACAGACAGAAGGCAGCACCAAGCCAGGTCCCGCTGAAGCACCTGGTGAGCATATTGATGCTTCGGGTTCATTTGCCAGCATTTTGGAGGCAACTCTGTGTCACTGCAGCAAAATCACCAGAACCACAAACAGAAGTGTTGGCTGCTGACTTGGCAAGGAAGTGGGCAAAGTAGGAATCAGAATTTTAATTAAACTCCAATCTGTATCCCTTCCCCCAGTCCTGAAACACATAGATACAACATGTCTCCTCCTCCCACGAAAGGCCCAAACTGCCTTGAAAAGCCAGAGCTGATGACCTTGCCCTCAGCCATGGGCTTTTTGCATAAATGCTGCCCAGCATCGAGCATTGCCGAGCCACAGTCCTACATTCTTAAACAGGTGTTTTGAAGACCAACTTGCAAAAAGGGATCAGTGACCTTGCATTAGGGTGAAAGGGACTGAAAAGAAATAAAGACGATTTCGTGAAAACTAATCGGTAAAGCAGGAAGTGACAGAGTAGGCCAGCTGGTACCCAGTCTCTAGGGACATGGATGTTCTAACATAAAACCATTCAGACACAAACCACTGTCCTAAGTACACTGTTCTCTTCCTTTCACTGGGATCTGAACTGTAGGGGGCCTTAGTCCTAACACCCTCCCTTTGTTAGATGGGAAAACTAAAGGCTGACAAAAAACCAAATTCGCTCTGACTTTCATGGTGCCTCCAGGGCAAGGCTGGAGTCCAGAGCAGTCATCTGAGTCTCTGACCAGACTCTCCACTCCAAACTAGACTGAGGAAATAAATGGGCATTTTTTTCCTTCAAACAGATGGCATTACAAAGAGACTTTTGGGAGGAATGGCTATATTCATCATTTTTATTGAAGTTATGTTTCACAGATATTAAATCACACATTAAATATGTACAGTTATTGTTGATCAATACCCCAATAAAACCATGAAAACAGAACAGAGTTAAAAGATCTGTAAATGTTAGCAACTCATTGATGAAATGAAGTGGGTTTTCTGGGCCAATGGGAAAGGGACCTCTGTGAGATTCCAAGGGTGTTACTTTTCAGGAATGCCATCTTTTCCCAACCAAAGCTGTCACTTTCAGTGACCAAAAATGGCCTCCCTCTGTATACCTAAGAACCATGGGACAAATTATAAGTAGCTATCTCAAATTCTGAAGTATACAACAATTCAGTAATTAAAAAAATGTGAATATGTACAGCAACACTATAATTTGAATAAAAGTGTAAGCCAAATACAAATGAGTAAAACTAATTTTAAAAACAGGCCTAGTTTTATATGGAGAGAGTGTTTCGATAAAATCTGTTAATAGACAATGCATCCAGCAGTGAGTTAATAAATAAAAATGCTTCACAAAATATAAGGGCAAATGGAAATGATGACAACATCATTCTGTACTCAAGCCTGCGACTGGATGGAACGCTATCATTGCTGGCTAACTGACCCCGGAGAATGGGCCCTCAATCTCCAGGAGAATTGGTCTGCTTATCTATAAAATATGGAAACAGCATCTCTTCTCTTCATCATAAAAAGGAATAAATGCCTATTGGACAGTAGAGTCTGAGCATAGTTCGCACTGTGTACGGCCAGCTTCACCTCAAGAGTCTGAACAAGGTCTGGTGAAAACCCATGCTAAAAACGGATGATAATTCGTCCAATTTCTCTTACAAATAAAAGGCTACTTAGCATAAAAGACTATGTTTAGAATAAATTTTGCAGCTGATACCTACCTATGAAGAAAGCTTCTCTTGTGAATTTTACCAACCCAAACCCATGACGGTAGTAACTGTCCTCGTATTTCTGTCTCACATGTTTTCAGTTGTAACAACATAACCTTATTCCCTTTGCCACATCTTCTGAAGCAGCCTGGCCTGGCTTGTTCCTAATGCTTTCTGTTTGTCAAGACTCCAGACAATTCCAGCAGTCTAAAAAGACTAATGATGCTCTGAGCACCAAGTTTGGCTGTGGCTCCAGTCCCAAACTGCATCTTCCGGATGGAAAGTCACTTGGCTCTTTCTGCCCAGAATCATGAAAAAGGATCTCAGACACTCACTGCTCCTAAAGAGATGTGGAAATACGTGTACAGAAACAGAGAGTTCTGTGAGGCTCTCTTCCATGCCTCACGTCAGCCAGGCAGCATCTGTGTTTCCCAGCCCGGAAGAGGCCCCCATCCACAAGAGCTTAGGCCAGGTCGTGCTGACTCATAGCTAGCCCCTAGCTATGGCTGAGCTGTCACATCCTTTAGTACCTCATCTGACACACAGATATCTTCTTCCCAAACCCTGCCCGCAGTCAACCTAATCCTTCAAAACTCAAGTCCACCATCAATGGCTTTCTGCCCACAAAGAAAGATTAAAAAAAAAAAAAACAATTTTACTGTAGATGCTATACAAGGAAGTATTTGTTGTTATACATATAGCAAAGAATGGCGGTGGCAGTGGGGGGTGGCTGTGCGTGCGTGCGTGTGTGTGTGTGTGCGTGCTTGCTTGTGTGTGTGTGTGTGTGTGTGTGAAAGAATCTGGAAGTCCATTCGAGAAATGTACCAAACAGAGGAATGATCTGCATAGAAATCCTCCAAGTTATTAAGGTTTTTGAGACAAGGTGTCACTATGTATCCTAGGCTGGCTTTGAGCTCACTGGGTTGTCCAGGCTGGATAGCTTCACAGCTCAGCCTCCTAAGTGCTGGAATGAGAGATGTGCTACCCCATGTCTGGGATTCTAGGTCTCAAATCAGGACACTAGTTAGGTGATGCAGGCAAGTTGAGAGTCAGACAAAATGCTGGAAAAGATGTAGACTGGCGGCTAGAAAAAGCTAAAATTTGCCTGTGACATTTACTCTGTGTGTCTGGATTTGACTCAGTTTATCAAATGTAACACAAGAGCAATTTTTTTTTTTTTTTTTACCATCTCATTGACCCTTCTGGGGATTAGATGAAATGATCCATAGAAGACACCTACCACTACCTGACTGACAGCAAAATTCTAGTAGCTTTTTAGTAAATATTATGATTTGCGGTTTCATCTCATTAGGCAACAGGGATGTGAAGGAAACCCCCCTGCTCCCGTCAGGTAGAACCACTTACAAAACTTCCTGTGTTGCCATCACCACAGTGATGGGGTTTTCCCTGCAGGACAAGGTCAAGTCCACAAATGCAGACGCCTCCACTGAGGAGGAGGGACCACTTCCCCAGAGTAAGCTTATCTAGAGAGCATCCTCGGTGGGGCTACTCTGTCTAGTCCAAGAGCAGTGACACAAGGATGAGCATATTTTGTCAAAAAACAAAGCAAGCTCTTAAAGGGAGCTCCAAGCTGCCGGGACACCCAGTGAGCGGCAGTATCCACACGAGGAGATAGGTTCCAGGACTGAGCTCCACAGTCATACCTCATTTTACCCTACGGGATAGCTAATTTTTAAGGTCCATACAAATGAGAACACAACTAGAAAGAAAAACAGTATTTTTGGCAGTCTGAAGGGTAATATATATCAAAGATTGCAATCAGTAACTATCAAAAAGCCATCATTTATAGCCCGGAAAAGCGGCATCATAAGAAAGGAGAGAAACAGGAGACCAACACTTCAATCCATCCCACCCAGCCTTCAGCAACCTAACCTCCAGACTGACGGCTGTAGAGTTCTTCCCTCCTACCTGTTTTCAAGAAAAGAGAAGGTGATCCTGTGCTAGTCTCCTCTGAGATGAAACCATTCCACCCCGCAGGGGAACTCCTTCAGCAGAGGGGTGAACAATAACAACAAAATAGCTTCCAGAAGTCCCTGAAACTGGCCAGATTCACTAGCCCGCTCCCTGCCAGAGGACACAGAGCACAAGCTGCAAGGAAGACAGAGGTGGGAAGTGGCCCAGGAGGCGCTCTGACAGGAATGGCTGCCTGGAATAGATTTTGATCAACCCAGCTACCTGGGAAAGACCCTCTCCAACCAGCTAAGCTGCCTGCAGGCTGTGAGGTGTGCTCCGGGTTCCTGGCTTTCGGAGGCTGTTATCCATGCTGAAGTGGGCTCTGCTGATGCAGCTGCCTGAGTCATTTATGTTCCTGTAAGTAACCAACCCCCTACCCACCTGGAGGTAAGCACAATAAAATTCATTGGTTCACTTTGGACTTTGGCGGTAACCATACTTTGGTCTATTGGGGGTTCCCCATGTGGGGTGAGAAGAGAAATAAATATATTTCATCTCCCCAGGAAAAATTTTGTCACACAATAGATAATATCACTCCTGAGAAAAGTAACACCACCCAGCCACCCAGAGATAACTTCTCTTACACAGTGTTCAGTATCAAACACCCATTACTGGACATTCCAATCCTTTGTGGAGACAAAAATAACAAAACTAGGTCTACAGATAAACTATACATTAGAGTTATCAAGTTATTGTCCAAAAAACAATGGTGTATGTGGGTGTGGTGGTGCACCTCTTTAATCCCAGCGCTTGAGAGACAGAGACAGGTGGATCTCTATGATCTGAGGTTAGCCTGGTCTACTTAGAGAGTTACAAGCTAGCCAGAGAAACATGTGAGAGCCTGTCTCAAAAACAAACAAACAAACAAACAAACAAACAAATCAAAACTGCCCAGATTTTATCTAAAGGATAAAGATGACAAAGAGAATTTCACCAAAGAACCAGAATCCATAAGGCAGAATTAAGTGGAAATCTTACAGTAAAATCCATATGCACCTAAAACTTCTTAATAACTGTGGTCAGTAAAGGATTGTTTGTCACTAAAGAGAATATTAGTGAAGTGGAAAGTAAGTTTAAAAAGCTAACAGGCAGAAACATGGAGAGCGAAAACACTGGAAAAAACAAATCAGAAAAGTAAAGACAAAACCA